TAACCCCCTCCCAAAGTAAATAAATATTTTAAAAGTTTTAAAAAACCAGACAAAAATGCAGATGAAATGAGATGGAGCTGCTAAGTCTTGCACATCTACCTAGTGATTTATGTTAGAATCAAAGCCTTAGAGACTGATAGGCTGGCCTGTTTAAATTCCCTGTATTCTCTGTTTATTTTCCCAATACTCTTCCTTCATCTTGAACACAATTTTTGTCCAAGTTCCCACCTGTGCATCGGTGCTCAGAATATATCAGAGACAGTGTTAAAAAGGAGCAGCCAAGCTCAGATGGAGCCACAGAACAGCAAGAATACCCCCTGAGAAGTGAAAACAAAGGAGACCTTCTTTATGTGACTCATTTGGGATGGGTTATGTTTGATATTACTAGGAAACTGCCATTTCATGGAGCCTTTTGCAATTTCAGTCTTCTGTATGTCCTAAAAACTGGGTTTACAATCTTTCCCAGTCCGGACACAAAATCTAGAAGTTGTTAAGGAAAATGTTGATAGATTTGGTTTCATAAAAGATAAAAGTCTTGTGTGACAGAAAGTACCAAAGCCAAAACTGAATGACAAGCAACAGACTGGAAAAAATATTTGCAAACTATAACACAGATTTTAACATTATAATAAAAAGGGATATCTACATTAAAAAAAAAACTCCTATAAATCAATAAGAAAGCCCAATGGACAAAATGTATAAGCAGATAATTTCAGAAGAAATAGAAACACAAAATGCTCATCTTCAATAGTAATTAAGGGAATACACTGAAAACATGTCATTTTGTTTGTCCATCAGATTGGCAAAAATTAAAAAAGGTTTCTAACAGTGAATACTGGCAAATGTAAAGGTAGTTTTTTCTACTGACAGTGAGAATGTCAACTGGTGTAGCTTTATTTTTTTATTATTTGTTTTTTAAAATTTGTAAAAAATGTTTTTAAAATTTATTGCTGAGAGAGAAGCAGCATGAGCAGGGGAGGGGCAGAGAGAGAGGGAGACAAAGAATCCGAAGCAGGCTCCAGGCTCTGAGCCAGCCATCAGCACACAGCCCGACGCAGGGCTTGAACCCATGACCGTGAGATCATGACCTGAGCTGAAGTCGGATGCTCAACTGACTGAGGCACCCAGTGCCCCTTATTTGTTTTTAAAGTTTATTTGAGAGAGTGTGTCCATGCGTGCGTGCGTGTGTGTGTAAGTGTGTGTGCAAGAGCACAGGAGAGAGGCAGAGAGAGAGAGAGAGAGAGAGAAAGAGAAAGAGAATTACAAGCAGGCTCTGCACTGTCAGCAAGGAGCCCAACTAGGGGCTTGATCCCATGAGCTGTAAGATCATGACCGTCATGGCCTGAGGCAAAACCAAGAGCCAACCGTTCAACCAACTCAGCCACTCAGGGGTCCCATCAAAAGGTGTAGCCTTCTGTGTTTTAAGTTTATTTATATTTTGAAAGAGACAGAGAAAGCATACATAGGAGGGGAGGGGGAGGGGGAGAATCCCATGAAGGCTCCACACTTTCAGCACAGAGTGCTGAAAGCCAATACAAAGCCAATGTGGGGCTTGAACTCATGAAACGTGAGATCATGACCTGAGCCGGTATCAAGAGTTAGACACTTAACCTACCAAGTCACCTAGGACCCCTGGTGTAGCCTTTTTAGAGGACAGTTTGATAGAATCTATAACTATTTAAAGGATGCCTATCTTTTGATACAACAATTTCACTTTTAAGAATCTATGCTATTTGAGAAGGTCCACATGAAGGCGAAAAACACAAGGATGTCAATTGCAACAATGTTGTGACAGGGAGAAAATACTGGTAACATCTAGGCACCTCTCCTCCTCTAGGCACTTTGTAACAGACTATATGAGGAAACAGATACTGACACTAGGGTCTGGAAGAGACAGAATTTCAGTCCAGTTTGTCTCCAGAGTGTTCTTAACTACTATGGTCTCTACAGGAGAGTAAATAAAGTCTGGGGCATCCATACCACGGAATATAGTCCAGCAGTTCAAAAGGATGAGTTAGGTCTCTGTGTACAGCTATGGCGATCTAAGACATGTTATTAATTAAGGGAAAAATCAAGTTGTGAGAAAGACTATGATCTGATATAATACCTTCTATGTGGGAAAAAGGTACGTTTGTGTATAAATACAAATATGTATGTCCAAACATAAGGTAAAGGCTTTGAATGACAGGAGAATGAGTGATGTGTAGAGAGATTTGGGAGAGTAATTTTTTGAGGCATGTCTTATACATGTCTGGTTTAACTTTTATAAGAATGCATTTGTGCATTGCTTTGGTAAAAAAAAAAAAAGAATTGTTCTGTTGACCAAGGGAAAAAAAAAGTTTAACTCCTATTTACAGATCAGTCTTCTTTTCTTCCATGCGAACAACGGTGTAGGTCTTGGATAAAAATCGTCTACAGTAGGGCTTTTTCTAGCCTATTGGAGAAGGTGCCCATTGACTGTATCTTATGGATCACGACCTTTTCTTCTCAAATAAGGTTTTTACATAGAGCACTTGGGAACATGACTTCCTGTTAGCTCACGAAGCACCATAAAAATATATGGCCAGCCACTGAGAAATTAATTTGGAAACTGAGAGGCACGTGGTGCTCCGTTCGCTTTTCATATTTTATTGTCTTCAGGGTAAAAGATCTACAATGGTGGATTCTCTCTTATTTTGCTCCAGTGCACAAGCAGGGGCGTCTGGCGCGCTCTGTTTTCTTGGTGTGGTTGGGGAGGTAGGAATGAGTTATTCAACACTCAACAGATGTAAAAGACTTACCTTTTGACCAGAAGTCAGTGTGATTATCTGGGAGGAAAAGGCTGTACAAGATCTTCCAGGGCCTCTTCCTGCTTAAGTCCAAGTGGCTTTGACAAAAAGCAACACCATGTTGCCACTGGAGCATTTAGTGATTAAATTGCTACAAGGTTCAGGCTTTAGAACTCAGACTGATTTGTGAGCTTGATCTCTCACCGTCAGTGAGAAAAGTTCGAAAGATTCTTATTATTTAATGGGTAACAGATTGTAGCTTTTTTGGAGTGGCCCATCTAGCTGACTACAGTTTTCCAATTTTTGATATTTTCATGTGGTCTTAAGCATCTTAACAGAAAAAAAAAACCCTCTTATTCATTTGAAGACTGCGTTCTCGTTTCTGCAGGTGCTCGCTTTACATAGTTCTAAGTGGTGTGTACAAACTATTTCGTATGTGTTGTTCATTCAGCCTTATTTCCAATCCATCTTTTCACGGACTTGCCAAAATTTCATGCGCTTGACAGAAACCCAAAATACCTTCCAGGATTCTTGCTGTTAATGTGACAGAGCTTGGATTATTCTCCAACCGTTGGACAACTGGGCCCATTCTAGGTTTTGGTCATTATGAGCATTCTGAATAGCCCTGCTATAAACATCTTTATGCAAGTTCTCTCCCCATCCCATCCCTCCCCTCCCCTCTCCTGCGGATCATTTCCTTAGAAACGTATTTCCTTAAATGGGTTTACTGGGTCAAAGGGGCTCAATGAACAATTTTATAGCTCTTGGCACATATTTTTCAGATTGCGCCCAGAGTGGATCTGGCCAATGGCACGGGCCGCGAGAGGGCAGGAATGCGGAGGAGCGGCCCCTATAACCACCCCTCTTCCGTCCCCCCTCCCCCGCCCCCAAAGGCAGGGACCTGGAGAAGGCCTTCGGGTGGAAGCGTTTTTCTACCGCCCTCCGGTTCCCTTCCCGATCGGCGCTGCAGCCCAGGCCGGGAGACTGCTGGCGACGAGCACAAAGGTTTTCGGATTCCAGGGCTTGTGCCCTGGGGGCGGAAGCAACTCGTCCAAGCCCTCCGTCCCAGGACAGGGTTCCCGTTTCCGACCTTCCGACTCCCGCTGCACGCCCCCCCCGCCCCTCCCACTAAAACCTCCCCGGCCCCGGCAGGCCCCGGGCCAGCGCACGGCTCCGCGGGCGAGGGCAGACGCTGGCGGTCGCTAGTATGTCGGCGCGGGTGAAGCCAGGCCCGCATAGCTGCGCGCTGAGTCAGCGGGGGCGGGCCGGCCCCCCCCCGGCCCCCCAGCCCCAGCCTCCACGACCCCCCCCGGGCGCTGCGGCGGCGGCGGCGGCCGCCAGACCCCCGACTCCGCGGGGTCGCCCTCCGCGCCGGCGTCGGGCGGGAGCCGGGCGGCCGGAAGCCCCCCGCGCCGGGCGCGCTCTCCCCTCCCCCGGCTGGAGCCCGGCGGGTCAAGTGAGGCGGTGACCGCGCGCCCGGGAGTTTACCCTCGGAGAACTCAAAGGAGGGGGAGGAGGAAGCGGGAAAGGAAGGAGGCTCCAAAAGGAGAAACGCGGAGCGGCGCAGACGGGAGGAAACGAAAAAAAAAAAAAAAAATGGAGGCGAAGGGGCGACAGGAGGCGGAGGCCGGCGGGGGCGGCGGCGCGCGCGCGCGCGGGGGACGGGGCGGGGCGAGCGGGGGCGCGCGCCGGCGGCCGCGGCCCGAGGGGCTTGTGGGTAGCGGCTGCGCGCGGCCGGAGACGGGCGCCGCGCGGGAGTGTGTGAGGGGAGCGGGCTTGTGGGACCGAGGCGGCCGCGGCGAGCATGGGGGCGGGCTGGCGGCGGCGGCCGTAGGTGTCTGAGCCCGGGCTTCAGCCTCCCGGAGCCCCAGAGGGCGGGGCGGTCCGGGCCCGGCGGTGGCCGCGCCGCTTCCCCGCTCCCGCCCTCGGAGTCCTGAGGGAGCTCGCGGCGGACGAGCGGACCGGGCGGCGCGAATCTGACTGAGGGGCGGGGACGCCGTCTGCTCCTCGCCGCTCCCGGCCGGGCCGGGCGGCCCCTCGGACGGCCCCAGGCCCGGGCCCGGCGCCGAGACCCGAAGCCGGAGCTAGAGGCGCGCGGTGGGCCCTTGGCGGAGCCCCGCCCGGAGCCGGCGGTTCGGGGGAGGCGGGGGGGTGGGGGGACGGCGCTAGGCCCCGAGGCGCCCGGGCCGGAGCGCGGGGAGCGGGGGTGCGGGGCCGGGCGGCGGCGGCGGCATGAGCCGGCCCCCGGCGACGGGGAAGATGCCCGGCGCCCCCGACGCCGTGCCGGGGGACGGGGCGGGCGCCAGCCGCCAGAGGAAGCTGGAGGCGCTGATCCGAGACCCTCGCTCGCCCATCAACGTGGAGAGCTTGCTGGTAGGTGGCCGGGGCCCGGGCGCCCTCCCCGCTGTGCGCGCGCCTGCCCCAGACCCCCCCTCCGTGCCCACCCACCCGTGGGAGGGAGGTCTCGCCCCACCCCGCCCAGCTTCCGGCAGCCGGGCCGGGCCGGAGTTCCCGCGGCGGAGACCCACGTTTGATTCTTGCCTCCTGCCTCCCGGCGCCGGTGTCATCTCCGGCTGCCCCTTCCTCGGAGCCCGGGGAGGGAGCACCCCTCTTCTCCCTTCCCGCGGCGTGCGGTGCGGGGACGCGGGGTCGCTGCTCGGGCTGCTCCCCCCCATTCCCGGCGGGAGTACCCCCACCTGGGGTCGGTGACCAAGGGCGGTCCTCGTTCCCCCTTCAGTCGGCCCCCTCGAAACGCGTTGCCCGAGTTCTCTTGCGGGCTCAGTTGTCCTTGAACGCCGGCGGCCGCAGCGAGTGCGTTTTAACGTCTGGAAACGTAAGTGGCCGCGGTGGTTGAGCCCGAGTCCGCCTGGATTGCGGAGGAGGAGAAATCTCTCCTTTCCATTGTGTCTTTTTCCCAAGGCAGCCTGTGCAGTACAAACGGGGAACCACGTAAAGACCGTCGACTAAGAAAGGAGTCGGTCTGTGTCACCAAGTTGAAGTGCACCGTGTGTGTGTGTGTGTGTGTGCGCGCGTGTGTGCGCGTGTGCGCGCGCTTATTCCTTACTTCTGTTAGGGTAGACGTTGGTGTTTCACAGGCAGCTTGATGAGCGTGCAGCAGAGAGGCTGCTTTGTGGAGAAACGGGGTGCGGGTTTGGGCCCTGGGGGGGGGGGGCAGAAGGTGGAGAGGATGCCGCGGGTAGTCGGTGAGTCAGTGATGCCCCGGAGGACCGGAGTCCGAGCGGGCGATCTGTGCTCGGGTCCCCTAGGTGCTCGGATCGGCGCCCCGCTTCCAGAAGCCTGGCGCGCCTGCACGCGGAGAAGGCGGTGTCCCTCCCCAGCCGGCGGTTCACTGACTTTTCTCCAGAAGTCACTGGTTACCCTTTGAGGTTTCTGGCATCGTTTTCCGAGTGACTCAGTGCCGTTTGGCCAGAGCTTTTGCAGGAACTGAGTGGAGCGCGTCTGTGCAGTGAGCACGGTGCGGCGAGGGACCGTCTCCTGTCAGACGCGTTGGGCATCCGCCTCGAGTTGGGAGCTGGGTGTGTGTTTTCACAGCCCGGGGACGGTGTAGGATCGGTTGCATGAAGGACATAACGTTTCCGAGGCCAAAGCAGAGACTCCGGGCTTCACGGCCAACGTTTTCACTGTGGTGTTCGGCTAGCAAAACTTTGACCTAAGGCCAGAAAGTTCGGTTAAAAATAGTACCGCAAATCTCAGGCATTCACAGGTCCATGTGCAATCCCAGATCGAAAAGCTTTGCACTTCGCTTTCATTTGTTGGGTCTTTACTGATGTTAATTACAGACGCTCAGGTTATTTTGAGCTGGACCCTAAGCGGTGTGTACCTGTAATGTGTTCATAACGTTCCGGTTTGTTTTTTTTTTAAAGTATTTTCTGGGTTATTAAAATGAAGGCTGTTTTTAAAAGTGAAACTTTACACGTTTCACCAACAGTTGGGTCCATTCATCTGTGGAGAGCTCAGTACTGCCAAGACTTTACACCTTTATCAAGGTGTCGCACTGTTGGTGTGAGAGTTGACATCAGAGGCTGCTGACTGCGCACATTTTGCTGTTGCTGTTTTGTTGATTGAATGTTACGGTTCTGACTTGCAGTAGATCTTACCAGGCCGAAAATTGCCCCTTACTCTCCTTTGGAGCAAGGTGGCAGTGCCTCTTTTGCCGATGATGAGCTGAAAAAAACAAATTAACTGTGTTGTAGTAAGTTGGTTTTAAATTACGTGTATTTTATTGTACAAAACAGAATGAGTTCTTTTTTTCCCCTCTGGTAACGTAAAATTTACCACCTTAACCATCTTTAAGCATACAATTCAGTGGCATTAATTACATTCACGTTTTTGTACCACCATCACCACTATTCTATTCATTTCCAGAAAGTTTTAATCTTTTTAAACAGAAACTCAGCGAATCTATACAAGAGTGTTATAAAGCCATATTTCTTGAAATACTCATGATATAATGGTTGGGATTACTTTAAAGATTTGAAGCCTTACGGTTTAGCCTGCATGTCACAGTTGATCATTGTTTTACTGAATATGGCATTTCTTTTGGTTTTATTATAGACCGTAGTAGTTTTCTTTAACAGAGGAAAAAAAACTTAAGGAATATAGTCTGATGAAAACACAGCCATGGGTCTTAGTTAATTCATTCAGGAGTTCAGAGAGCACCATTATAATTGTGGACTAAGGCGACAAAAGTATGAAGCTGAAATATACCAGAAGTTACTGTATACTTATTCTTAGAAGGTAAAACGCTGTAGGAAAAAATGTTAGGTGAGATTACATGCAAAGTGCTTAACTCAGTGCTTGGTACATAGCCCTGCTCGTTAAATTTAGCTCACTTCTGCTTGCATTTAGCATAGTTAATTGCTTTAAGTTTCCTGCGAAAAGGAAAATGATTTTATTGGCAACTACTTCTTGCTATATAATTTCGAATAAGTAGCATTATAAATTGAATTAGCCATCAGAAGAGTGCTAGCATCATCAAGCATAGGTAAAGCTGGATTCTAAGATGACATCAGTGTTAAAAGGTTAAATTGTCTTTTTCTCTCTTGCTTTACATAGGTCCTTAAATTAATCAGAAGAGAGTGTATCCCTTTTGTGTTTGCTTATTGTGGGCTGCTTGGTATTATTTAAAAATAGAGTTTTGAGAGAGGTCTGTTTCTGTAATACTTTTTTTGGGGGGGGGAGGGACTTCAGTGGTAAGCTTTTGCAGTGTTTGAAACTTTTTGGTAAACACCCATGTTTTGTTGTCAGGACTCAGCTTCTCATACTGCTTTCCCAAATAATCTGGTAAAAAGAATTGTACTTTAGCGTTATGCTGGAGAGATTTTAGTTTAGTTTACTTTGTAATCTTTATACCCAGTGTGGGGTTCAAACCCATAACCTCAAGAACTACCAACTGAGCCAGCCAGGTGCAGCTGGAAGGATGTCTTTCTTTTTTTTTTTTTAAATTTTTTTTAATGTTTTTTATTTATTTCTAAGAGAGAGAGAGAGAGAGAGAGAGAGAGAGAGCGCATGAGCAGGGGAGGGTCAGAGAGAGAGGGAGTCACAGACTCTGAAAGAGGCTCCAGGCTCTGAGCTGGCAGTCAGCACAGAGCCCGACGCTGGGCTCGAACCCACGAACTGCGAGATCATGACCTGAGTGAAAGCCGGACGCTTAACCGACTAAGCCACCCCGGCGCCCCTGGAAGGATGTCTTTCTTATGCTCTGTGCTTTGGGTTTTGATGTGTTTTATTTTTTAAAAGAGTAGATGTTTATAATTGTAGGATTCAGGCTTGAGTAAACTTAAGACTGGTGTTGATGGGGAAAGGTGATTAAAATTTTATTTATGAACTTGAGTGGCTTAGAATACAAAATACCTTATTTGATTGATTTCATTATAGCGGTAAACTGTATGAAAATATTTACCACAGTGCTTAGATTTCAGTTTGGTACTGGTTATCTGCCTAATTATAGAAAAATTTTATGTGTATTTTTTCCCACTGTGTAATAAGTGCAACTATTACAAAGATATAAAAGTGAAGTGGAATAAACATTGAAAAGTTGTTTTGTACATGTACTTTTGTGAAATAAAAGTTGGGCACCTTTAGCATAAATGGGATTACTTTACTTTAAAACTTGCATTTTTGGGGCACCTGGGTGGCTCAGTTGGTTTAGTGTCCTGGACTTCAGCTCAGGTCTTGAACTCGCGGTCTGTGGGTTCGAGCCCGGTGTTGGGGCTCTGTGCTGACAGCTCAGAGCCTGGAGCCTGCTTGGGATTCTGTGTCTCCCTCTCTCTCTGCCCCTCCCATGCCTGTGTGTGCATGTACGTGCGTTCGCTCTCTCTCAAAAATAAATAAACTTAAAAAAATCTTTAAAAGTTAAAAAAACTTGCATTTTGATGATTATGAAAGAAAATGAATTAGCTGGAGAGGTTTCAAAAAGTAATTTATGGAATTTGCTGTTTAGGTGAAGTTGAGTGTTTTTGAAAGTACGGGTTCACAGTCCCTCACCCACAGTTCTGCTACATGTAAAGAACTCTCAAAACCAAGTTTTTGGTAAAAGTTACTTGATGGTAACATCTGACCTGATCTGATGTTAGAATATTTATAACTGATTCGTCCCTCTTGGTGTAAATAGTAATAGCTTTCCTTGGGGAAATATTAATGTGTTTGATTTCAGGGTGCTAACGCAGACATACAAGAAGGTTTTCAAAAGGGTACTGTATATGGTATATGTAGTTTATTACCATTCTAAAATCCAAAATATTCTGAATTCAGAAACATCTTGCCCTAATATGAGGGTAGTGTAGACGTCTATACATCTTAAATACTGTAGTTGTAAAGAAATTGTGAATATTTATCTCAAAATTGAAGTTGTTTTGGTTGAGTCATGATCCCATAGTTCTCTTTCCCATTTTGAAATCTGAAATATTCTAAACATTAAGAGAATATAGCACGCAAATATAAATTATGAACCATAAAAAACATCCAGGAAATCACTGCCCAATTTAATGAACCAGAACACTAGCGTTTTGAAGTTACTGTGGGTTGCTGCTGCTTGAGCAGTCTTTCTGTGTTCTCTCCTGTTAACCTTGAAAGTTTTTTTTTATCATTTCTTTGTTTTATAGATTACCACATTTGTATATTTTCCTAAGCAGTACTGTTTAGTTTTGTGTATTTTTTAACATTAAGAAAAGGTTAAAATTTATATAGTGTGTTTCTTTGTGAATTACTTTTTTTCAGTCAGAAGTTTTATTTCTAAGATGCACACACATTATGGTTTATTCATTTCAGTGCTACGTAAACTGAAGTGTATTGCTCCAATCTATTTGATGAATATTTAGATTTTTATTCTTTTCTTTTCTGCTGTTATGGAC